GCTAAATATTGGTCATTAACTCACATGTCACCGCAACGTGATGAGGTTTGTGTGCTCGTAGTAAACTGGCCAGATCATACCTCCACTTCTGGTCCATACACCTTAGATCTGAAAATCACTTCCTAGAATGTTTGATACAAATTTTTCAGCAGAAATTAAACGGCCACAGGCGCACATCTCGTTTGTTTAGTTGAAAATAAACAATGTCAATTATAGCGCCCTTATAAAATGGGTAAACAGGAACGAAGAACATTACTAGGGCCAAAGCAAGCGGTTGAAAATCAAATGAGTCCTGGTGAAAATCTCAATAACCATCTAGGTAGGATAGTTCTCGCTTGACTACTGCAGTCAATTAAACTTTGGGGGGGGGGGGGAATGGTGTCTCGATAAAACTCAAAGAAGTGATCAGAAAGAAACTGGTTTCTACCGGTTACTTCTTGCGAAGAAAGAAGAAGAGGGGGGAGGCGGGTGGGGAGAGAAGAAAGAAGACTAAAACTTGGCGGCATTCCAAACACTATTCAGAAAAAAAATCAAGAAATCGGCCAAAGCAAAACAATATCGAAAATAATCTCGCTACCTATGGCTGCTGCCTTCAAACAAATTAAAGAGGTAATCTTCAAAATTCATAAGCTATGAAGACAGATTAGGAACAAAACTTCCTTGCGAGTTTTTTCACTCCCATTGACATCCTAAGAAAGATTATTCAAGAACTCCCAGTAGTTAGTAAATAACGCTGAATATTTCCTACGATTGCAGGTAAAATCTAGGCCCTTCTGCGCAGATCAATATTTTTCCGAGGTGGCCAGGCATTCACCTTGTACTCGGGAATCGTAGCGGCTCTTCCGAAGGATGCGGACCTGAACAATTACATGCGCGGTAAGGTTAGTATACAAGGATCGACTGACCCTGGCGGGTCGTAGGACTCTTTTGGCCTAAGCGTTGTCCGATCCGGTATTTCTGCGCCTGTGCTCGAAAAGAGAGAGTTTCCTTTGGGAGGGGAGAGGTAAAAGAACGCGACAGAAGGAAACAAAAAGGAAACAAACAGCAATCGGAAAATTCCTCACGGAGCCAAATAAGACCCCCGTCGAATCACGAATCCTTATCATACGCCTAGTGCCCTCGTCGGTCTCCTTTTTTGAGGAGCACTGCCAAAAACCATGGGTCAAGCTTGACAACTCGTAAAGGTTGGTTTGAGCTGTAGCTTACAGTGCTCAAAAAAAGAACAGAGGTATCGCCTAAGGGATTTTTGTTCAAGAAATAGCGACTTGCTGATGCAGCTCCTTGTTGAAGAAAAAAAATCACAGAAAAGAAGAGAAGAAGGGTAGATAAGGGGAAGGAAAATGGTGACAGGGCTTTGTCACCTCATAATCCCTCGTTTCAAGGATTCTGAGGCATGTTCTCATCGCATTTTCTGGCCGAGCATTTGATGGGATGGAAAGAAGGATGACTGAGATGAAAAAAAGAACAACGAAAACGGAAGGAAAAGAAGAAGCAAGGAAGAAAAAGAAGGAAGAAGGAGGTAGGTTCGCTTCGACAAATACCGATATCGAAGGGGTAGAAGCCAAGGAAGGAAGGAAGGAAGGAAGACAGGAAAGACATGAAGAAAAAGGGAAAGGAAAGGGAAGCGAGGGAAGAGGAAGGGACTTGGGAGACTTCGCCTTCTTCCAACAGAAGAAAAAAAAGCGTTGAAATCTCGGCAAGAAAAACATCAAGTGGATGAAAAAGGGAAAGATGTTTGTCCGTGATCTGAGTCCAGTAAGCATGGCGCAGATTTTAGAAAGATGCCCTCGAAAACATATAGATCATAGCGCGGCATTAAAAAACAGTTCTCCCCGTTATCACTGAGAAATTTCAAGGTCATTTCACCGCCAAAGTATTCCCACGACTTTCCTAAACATTTGCACTTAGAGTGGAACTCCACCGGATATCCTATTGCTGCGAAAGTTCAGAGGTATATACTTATCGTATCTTCTGGCCAAGCATTTGAAGGGAGGGTAATAAGGAAGAAGAAAGAGGGAAGGAAGGGAGGAAAAGGAGCAGGAGGAAAAAGGAATGAAGAGGGAGCCTCCGCGCTTGACAGTTTTCCAGAGACCCGGAACTTACGACTCACTTTTGCCAGATTCCCTTAATTTGGAGACATCACTTTCAGAAGAGGAACAGGGTTCGTCGGAGTCTGATACTCATGAGAAGGGGATATAATGTAACGCGACGCTTTCGAACGATTCACTAGCTACTCGGAGGGCACAAGGGTTCCGCATATGTGGCTTCGAGGTCCGACCAGTACCACAACCAGGGCAGTTATACATTTTGGATCCCCAGCGAACAGGGTCGTATTGGGTCGGTGGAGGGGGAGGGGGGGGGAGGTAATACTTGCTTTCGGAAAAAACGCTTTTGATTGTTGGTTTTTCTCTGATTTTCCAGTTTCACGCGCGCTTTATCCACACCTCTCCCCCTCCCTTTTTTTCACTCCAAGGCGATTTTTTTTGATAGAAAGTTGGAGATTGTCTTCGGGAAACTGCTAGGAAGTCGGAAAGATTCAGGAAGATGGTAGGTAAGATGCGAGATGGGGAGGGAGTGGGTCGCACCGAAGAAATTTTGAGGTGGGTCGTACTTTGCAAAATTTTTTCCCATCAGCAGGACCTGTACTCACCACGACTCCATGAATTTATTGAACCGTTGTCTATCTCCAGTCGTTTGGAAGTCAACAACATTCTTCGAAGCAGTTCGACTAGGAGGAGGGGGGGGGGACATATTGCACTAACGCTACTTCCCATTGACATTAAAAAAGATTTGTGAAATTTTCTGAAGCCGAGAAGTGATACCAGTCAGAGTTTGTGGGAACCACTAATCAACTCTTGTAAAGCGATTAACGAAAGTGCAAAAATGCCCCCCCCCTACCATGCCGGAACTGCCCCAAGTTTTCCTTTGAAACCAGAACCACCACCACCAATACACCATATCCCTCATAAAAAACTTGTCGATATCAAGATGAACAGCTCAACATCGCAATGAACGCAATACAGTGTTGCATAGAAACATTTATTAATTCTAACTTAAACAAAAACAACAGAAACCAGTCATAACAACAATAACAAAGACAAATAAAAATGATGATCGATTTGCACCTCGTCACGGTGAATGTCAACAATTGTGAAATCACGCAAATAACAGCGCGAAAATCGTCCACATACCACGATTCTATGTAGAATTCCAAAGAGTTTTTGCTATTGAATGCAAATCTGTCATCAACGGAACCCCCCGAAACAAGGCCGTGAATTCGCAAGCCAATAATTATATGATGTTTTATTTACTATTTACCGTGGCGATTCCCTAGCCTTTAAGACAGTTCCTAAGTGGGGTTACTTGGATTCCTAAGTGAGGTCACTTTGGTGGGTGCGACCAATTGGTTCAGCATCGTTGAATACAAATATCAGGGGGAAGGGGTCGTATTTGGTCGAATAGGGTCCTTGTCTTTACAGAAATTTTTTTAGTCTGACTTTTCGCGGCTTTTCACATGGCGACTGCATGGTGGCGACTCTCGCTCTCTCGAGGGCAATTAGGGGAAAAACAGAAAAAAATTCTGGAAAACTGGGGAAAGTGGTAGGAAGTTGGGGAAAACACAGGAAGATGGTAGGTAGGAGGAAGGGGGAAGGCGTACAGGAGGAAGAAATCGGGCGGGGTCGTCTGATACCGCCACTTCCCCATTCCCGCTGAACTCTGACTACTGAGTCCTAATGAATTAGCACCAACGTTTTTACTGCCTTTACTTTAGTAACAGATACCGTCATTGTCAAGCGTACCTAAAAACTTCGGGAGACGGTCCAGGACAATCGTAGTTTGCCGCACTTCCCGCGCGGCGATAAGCTGAGCGTTTTCTTCATTTCCTCACCTGTCTATTGGAACCCCAAATTCCACGTTGACTGCAAAATCGTAGACATTCATGGCTATTTTTGGCTACACATTGTCCCAAAGACCTAGAAACGTTTTCATTTACGAGCGCGACGTCGCATGCAACGCCCACGAGCGAATTACGATTGCCTTGCCACATACCCGTGGTATGACTTTCGTGAACAGATACCCATATATGACAGCATACTTAATGGGTTGTATACGATTTTCACTTTGAACTCACCACTTTTCAACCCAAATTCACCACTTTTTCAAGCCAAAATCATCACTTTTCAAAACAAAATCACCACTTCTCAAACCAAATCCACCACTTTTCAAATCAAAGTCCTCATACCTTTTACGCTAGATCGTTAACCAACCAGATGATGCTAGAGGCTACCAGAAGCTATGCCCGATGGTAACACCTAGTTGTCAATGTGGTCATGAATTTTCAAATTTTATTCAATAACTTATGGTTCTGTGGCTTTTTTTGTAGTTCTGCTATTTTGCACACACTTACTGAAAAGTATTGATACGCTGGTACAGGGGCGACTCCGCTTTTTTCCAAGGGATTTGTTGCGACTTCCGATTCTTATAATTTTTTTTCCAACGTCATTCATTCCACCGTCTCTTTACCCGTGACCATTCTTGCATCTTTTGCGAAAATCTCATTCTTTTTCAAATGTTAACATCTTGGCTTCCCCCCCCCCAGCACAAGGGCCCCGCCCACTTCGTAGAAGTCACACCCACGTTTAAAAATGACGCGAAAAATAGCTGGCTGTAGTCTCAGCTGGCATGTTAGAGTCATGCTCGTCACTCAAAACAACCACATCACTTCACCGGAATTCCCCAGGACTGCAAAGCAGCATTAGTTTTTTTTTTGAAAATAAACCTTGAAGTGAATTAAGTCCGTATTATTCACCGTACAATTACTCCCGTATTTTAACAACATGTATGAATGACCCAATACCCGTCGTCAGAGATATCAATCATGGACACATTGTCTACTCCCTTTTTGGAGACGCAAAGAACTGAGATGAGATGAAAAAGTAGAAATCATGTGAAAACAAAAGTGAAACATGAGAGAACAGTCAGTAATACGTAACAATAAGTTAAACAGACGAGAGTGGCGGGAAAGGATCCTTTTTACTTACGACCAACTTTTGATGTTGATGTGAAATATATCCTTTGATCTTCTTCTGAAAAAAAAAGATTCTTTGATTTTGACGCAACACATAATGCTAATACGGGTGCACAAGTATTCAATAAGGTCATAAGCCAGGTTATATTGACGGAAAAGTGTGTGCTGTTTGGCTTAGGAGGGGCATTTTGCACTTTTGCTATTTCCTGTTAAACTACACGGCCTTGGTGAGATCTCTAGACTTCTGTCAACCGAAGCTCATACTACTGCACGGCTTCACATTAATTCACAGCTCTTCATGGGCGGTATCGGCGAAAACCAACAAAATGCCCCCACAAAGCTGAACTGCTTTGAACATTGCTGGGAATCAGTGAATACCAACAAACATGAAAATCATTGGAAACAAATAGAAGTAAACAATGCTCCTTGATAACCACTTTATAGCAGTAAACCAAAGAACTCAACCCGAAAGTTGGAGTAATTTTGAATGCACGAGCCTAATTGGATATCTAATACCTTACTGATTGTGAGATTCTTCTAATTCAGTGAAAATTAATCAAAAACCCAAAACCAGCATACAGTCTAGCTCGCTGCGAAGATGAGGAATGTGCGAAAGGCTACGTTCAGCGCCGCGTCAACCGTCTCTTTTCATTTTTTTTCTCTCTCTGTTGTTATCGCTTACTCGCTTGAATAACTAGTAAAGAATGGACTCGGCGGCGTGCCAAACGCAGCCGCGCGGACACACCCCATCATTCGCAGTGAACTATTCTGTGATTTTTGCTTATTACCTCCGCAATGAGATTCGCAACGATACATTCCAGTTCGTCCTCATCAACGTCCGTTACGCCAAGATACTGAATAATGGTATAAAATGCTTTGAGAGGGATTTGATTCCCTCCAATGATGGTCGATCTGAAATGGAAGCGATTAATAGTGAAGTTTATGGCGCTATTCGCTTTGGGAAAATGGGGATGGAGAGAGTAAACATTTTGCATTTGTCTAGTTCGTCTCCTTTTCTAGTTTCTATTGCCTCTCTTTTTCACTTCATCACTTGTAAGCTACAATGGTAAAACCTTACAGGATCGTATATGATTTGCACTTGGCACAGTTCGGCTTGGTGGGGGAGGGCGTTCAGCACTTTCGTACTTCCCATTGACGAGTCGAGGCTTCAAGTGGAAACATGAAAGGTTGTGAGGCCGCCGAATGACAGGGTACAGCATCGTTGGGTAAAACACATAGGGGTCGTACTTTTCCGCTAGGGAGTTGGGTCGTATTTGGTCGTTGTTGTGAGAGGGGGGGGTCGTATGTGGCTTTGAGAGAAATTTGCCGCTTTGGGAAAAACTTTTCTTGGTTGTTGACTTTTCGTGATTTTTCCTGTTTCATGTGTCGTCTCCCCATTGACAGCAAAATTTTTGGAGAAAAAAGGAAAAACTGAATTCCGGAAAGAGTGGTAGGGAAGTTGGGGAAAATCTAAGAAATTTTCCCGTTTCAAATTGGCTGTACACCTCCCCCCCCCGCTCGACGGAAAATTTTTGGGTGAAAAAAAACCGCAAAATGTGGGAAATGTAGGTGTTGGGGAAGGGGGGGGGGAGAGTATTTATAACGATGACCCTCTCCTAGTTTAGTGAGGCGTGTCACACTGAGGCCAGCGTTTCAGACTATCGCGACGGCAGCGCTTGGTCGCCGATCGACGCGATCGAATCCGCGATGCTTTCGGACTGCTCATCGATCGGTCGAACGCGCGACACGAAACGCTGAATCGCTCACGAAGTCCGAAACGCTGCCTGACACCCTCCCTGGAAGGGGGGGGGGTCGTACTGACAACACCATCTCACACATCACGATGCTGTATCCTGCCAACTGATACCAGTCAGAGTTTGTAGCCAAGTCCTGTGAAGAATGCCTGTTAACTCTTGTGAAGCAATGAAGCAGCGAAAGGGGAAATGCCCTCCCCCCTCTCCCCACACCTCCCCGTCGCCTAACTGCTCCTTTTTCGGATCTGCCTCCTATGACTCCCCGGAAAACGACTGGTTGAAGGAAAAATGGAAATCTGATTCAGAATTGAAAAGCAGAACGAAGACTGCAAACAAGCTTACATTCGCTTGAAAAGTGTCCGAAAAGTGATCGAACGTAATTTTTCCAGCATCAAGAATATCCCGCATTGGATAAAAAAGTGCTCATTCGCTTCAAGTGCTTGATCCAACTTTGCTAGATTTCCCTCTTTCACCGCTTCTACAACCTGAACCAATAGGAACATCTGCATTGAAGTCGTTATGAATCGATTCAATTTTACACCGAAACTTACGTCACGGAACTCATCCAGTTGGTATTTATGTAGCAGTTGAGCGGTGGGCATATGACCGAGGAACATTTTCACGGGAATGAGATATATTAGCACTAGTCGTTTATTTGATAGGCATTCAGCAGGACAATTGCGAAACGCATACGATAACGATTTCTCGGCTGAAAGCAAAAACTTTTCGAATGAGACCTTAGCGCGCAGAGCGTTTCTAACCAGAGCATTCAGTGAGACCATTGAAGTGAATGAGGAGAGTTAGTGGGATAAAGCCGCTAAAGCCGCTGTTTGTAGCGAGATGTATACCGACTGATGTGTCTTTTAATTGTTTTGGGAGTTGTTCTATCACGATACCCACTGTTCAAAAAAAAGCCGTAAACCTGAGAGGTAGGAGGCATACCGCTCTCGCCTGGTAAGGGTCTGTCCATACTTTGTGCCAATCTCTGAGCGTCTGTAAGCGCATTGAGCGTTTTGAGCGACTGGAAACGTATATATATCGATAGAGCGTCTTGAGCGCCCACTACCGCTCTGAGCGTCCGCCAGCGTTTTCAGTGACCAGGGAAGTAGAGGTATCGATCCAACATTTCGTGTGTCCACCAGCGTCTTGAGCGACTAAGAAAGTATAGATATCGATATTACCGCTGAAAACGCTGAAGGACGCTTAAAAAATATGGTGGACGCTGAAAACCTAAATCGATACCTGCACTTCCTTAGGCGCTTAATTAAAAATGCTGGAACGCTGAAAGACGTTCAAAATGCTGCCGCAAAGTATAAACGCTCGGCGAGTGCGAGTCCGGGTTTGAATCCGGTGGGGTGAAAACTCCATACAGCTAGTTTGCCGACGGGTGGGCGGGGGCATTTTGCACTTTCGTTGCTTCACTAGTTTTGGTTTACAAGTATCACTCTTGTGAAGCTGGAGCGGCAAGCTCGTCAAACGGCCATGGTAAAAACCTGTCACTGAGAAAAGGCTGTCTGATGGGTTTGACAGCTGTCGGTGGGTGAACTTCGTTAAGAGTGCGAAATGCCCCCCCCCCCCCCCACCCCCCCCATCGCCAAACACCGCCCTCCATACAGCATTCTCGTATTACTCTACAACGGTGATAACAAGTCCGTCTTTCTACGTGTTTTGGATCTCTCGGACCGAAGAATTGGTGCTTTTCCCCCAGGATTATTCACAATCAATAGGGATTTACGGCAGCTTAAAGGTTGCTTCGAGCTGAGACAACTTCATCAGTTACGCGACGAAATTGCGGCCCCAACCAGATCTCGCTAATGGGCTTCGGTGCCACATTAGATGGATATTTACTCCAAAATTCGCATTGAATGTGCATACCCCCCCCCCCCCTAAAAAACGCCTTACTTCGTTCAGATAACGTAGTAGGCAGATATTGAAGGCGCTCTTTGGATTCGTAGTCATTAAAAGACCCATCAGTTGGTGCACGTCTCACTTCAAACGGCCACTTCGACCTATCATCCTTACCCGGTGAGAATTACCCTGCCCAGCTAACAAAAAGCCGAGTCACAAATAAGCGATAAGAAACGAACCCAAGGGCAAATCTGCATCAAACATAGCTTTTCGCCCAAGGAAATAGTTGTACGTGACTTTATCGGCCATTGAAAATGATTGATATAACGTCCCAGAATTGTCAATCGCACGAATCAAAGGTTTTCAGTAGGTTCAACTTATTAATCTGTAACAGATCGACTGAAAAGTGAAATAAAACCAGATGACAATTTGAAAAAAAGTTAAAAACACGAAAAGCAGCGACAAACTCCTCCCGTATTGGTGTAGCTGGGGTGTGGGGCAATCGAAACAACCTTACCTTGAAATAGATACGAAACAATTGATTGGTCATATTGAGAATAGCTATCTTCTTTGTTGTAGATGGATCTGCTCTTCTAAAAAGTTTTCAAATGAGATAGATGACAATCTATAGGACATCAGAATGTATCCTTGGCATTATTACCCTTTATTTGCCCCCACAATTTTTTCAAAAACTAGATCTGCACCCCTAAGACCTTTGCTCCTACCCCTCCCCACTCATCCCATGTGAACAAACATGATTAATCTATTCAAAACTAGAGTCCTTGTTACAACCGGGATTTCTTCGGCATTAGCATCAGGGCAAGGCACTCCTGGGCAAATGATTCAGGGGTCAAATTACCCTGACCCATTGAAAGACAAGCCTTCAGTAAATTTGAGGTGTTTTGAGATGTTTACCTTCGGCACCTATGGCATGAGCTTCAGGAAAGCGCAGTAAATGTGACATTCGCGTTCGGAAGGACAAGCTACCCACGAGACAAATTCTGGGGGGGGGGGGGGGGGAGGGGGGGGGGGCGCCCTGTACGGCTTAAGAGGGCGGGTCCCGTTTAAGAGACCTGGCAGACTTCTGTCAAACTCAAACGAAAGCTTGCGCAATGTTTGCGTAGCTTTACTGAAACTCCCAGGTGTCCACAGGAGGTATTTCATGGAAAACAGCAAAATGCCCTCATTGGAGCCGAACTGTGCCACACTATGCTCCCATTACAAAGGGTGAAGAGGAAAAGGGTGAAGGGTAGACAAAGCCTGAGGACTAGCAGTCAAGAAAAGAACTGTCAGTAGAGTAACTTACACATCAGAAGTACAAGTCCTGTATGCTTCCATGATGTAATTGGCTGATTGTTCGTAATATGAGGAGATATTTTCGACCTCATCGTCTTTTTCGGTAAGTTCATCGGCCTGAATTTGCAGTAATCATAAGGGATATCAAACACTGGGAAAACGGAACGTACCATTTTAGCTATATTCAAAAGATCGCGGCACAACTGATGAAAAATCGGAATAAACCAGTTCACTTCCTTTTTCTTCTGCAGCACTTCCTTATTAAATGTTTGCATTATCTGAAAATATAAAATGCTTGTACGCTTAAAAAACTTGGAACCCTGCAAAAATCCAAAGAAATGAGGAAAAGATTAGCGCATCAGCTTCTGTATATTTCCCTTCTATAGCGAATGACAATCTTATTAGAAGCAGAACACTTACACACATACGGGCGCTGTTCAGCTTGGAGGGGGCATTTTGCACTCTCGCAAAGACTCTTACACTACTTTCTGTTACCTTGCTCCCGTGTAAAATGAAGCTCATGCTATTGCTTCGCTTTACAGGAGCTTACAGGTATCTAGTGTAGGTACCGGCAATGATCGATGAGAACCAGTAAAATGCCCTCTCCAAGCCGATCCGTATCCGTAATGCGGTGAAGCGTAGTTAAACTGACTCTCTAATATCAGAATTACCTGCGTATGAGTAGTGTAGGCAGCCTCGTAGTTATGGGACACATTTATATGGTAAATTACTTGTAAATGCAGCACACACAACCTGGGGGGAATTTCGGGGGAAAGGCTTCGTCATCGAATGTAAGAGCGGCTTTTTCGGGAGCCGTAGGCCTCGATCTGGAAAAACAACTTGTAAAGTGAACTCGGCGACTGAAGTGGTGCAACTGCATGTCGCCCGCTAATAACAGCGCCTTAGAAGTGGCCTGCATGCCACGTGTCCAATCCGTGTGTCAAATCCCGGATCGGCTCCCGCCTAGGTCAATCAAACCTTCTTCCTAAGGTTATGGTAGCGTACGGAGGTCGTCTAAATTGCGACAAATGAAGACACTCAACTCAATCAGTTCTGTTCGCGGAATCTTGCGTTTTTTGAGCACGAGTTAGGCCATACAGTGGTTCGCGGGATCAAACAAGCCGGTACAAACAAGTCGCACTAATTCAGAAGTACACGAGGCGTATAGACAAAAATATTCACCTACATGCATAAATGGAAGAACACTGTGATCACCATGGATTGCCAGCAGTTTTGCCGCACTGGTAGCGCTTGCCCACGGTTGCCGTATCGATGAGCCGATTCAGCGTGTTGAAATACTCAGCCACGCTTCCAAAAGCCATTCTGGAAATGTTTGATTAGAGGAAAATTTCAATGACGACGGCAATCATTCGGATCGCATCGTCCTCGGAAAAACCTGTCATTGGAAAAACCATTCCTCAGTTATAGAAAATCACTTAAAATATTAAGCAAAAGTTTCACATGGGCGTGCGTTCATACTTAACGACCTGGTCGCTCTGATCGCCCTTGTTCGCGCGATCGGGCGCCAAAAAGCGCTAGCACCGAAACTGATCGGCGAAGAGAGCGCTGCATTTGGCGATCCAAAACGAATTGGATCTCGAAAAATTTGAACACCGATTTCAGCCGTTCTTAAAGAGAAGCACCGGTAAAAATTCTCACAGGGTTTTTCCATCAGATGGAAAGTACACCCTCCAGACACCTCTGCAAAGGCCACATTCACACCTCGCGCCGTTGAGCCGGCGTTCATACTTCGTCGCTTTAGAAAGAGGAGATTCGGGGATTAACACTTCTAAAAGAATGTGGCTAGGTGAAGGAGTAAATATCGATATGAAAGCTTAGAGAACAGGAACATCGACGGATCGGAAAGTCATTGAATCGAGAAGTGGCGTGCGCGAAATGCGATCCATTGGCGAATCAGAGAATCGGAGTCAAAGAACCGCAGAACTGAAGAATTAGAGATTCGGCGCACCGGAGACCAATCAATAACTTTCTAATATTTTCGCTCATTCTTCAATCCAAGAACTATTTTAAGTATGCCGGGCATGTATCTACCTTTCTGCAGATTCTTCGTTCGCGCAGTTCCGCGATTCTTCAGTGTCGCTAGGTATGAACACAGCCCGAACGATTAGACATCGATTTTGTCACCCCCTCCCTCACACAGTAAAAATTTGTCGAAACTGATCCATATATAGAACGCTTACTACTACGAACTACTAGAGCACCCTTTCCGCGGACTGCCCGATTTCTAACGGCTTGCGAATGAACATAGCACGTGAAACAGCTGGAGTTGTATCCCATCACTATCGTCTGCCTTACCACTGCACGATTATCGATTATATGCACGGCCGCCACCTTCGGACCAATTCCTCACTTCAAACATTCCGCAACCGTGTGTTTATTTTCTATTTGTTTGAACTGAGGGTCAATTTCATATTGACCGCCTACTCAATGTGCCCGATGTACGCTAATTCTTGGTGGGAACTTTCCAGAAGCTGTGTGAGCCATTTCAAAAGTAGAGCCATATTTCAAAAAAGTCCCATTAGGACAATTCTACCATCTTTTACAACGGATTGAAAGAGTTAGAGAACACAGAAAATCTCCAAGCTCACTAATGTTTCTGAATTCTTGACCAATCATAAAAAATCATAAAATCATAAATCTACACACACTTCAATTCGTATTTTCATGTTTTTCGATTCGTACTCTGTATGATCGGTGCGATTCCTAACAAACGGAAAAAGAATGAAAAAGAACGATTTCCGCCAAAGTTACCCGAGCTGGGACTAAAGTCACAATACGTATCTCTGTGATAAAACATCCACAGTAAACAACTAATTTTGTTGAACACATTATTTTCAGCTTGAGTAAACTTTATAGCGTGGAGATCACGAGAAAATAAGTTCCAAAAAACGTGTCAAAACAATCAACATCCGAAGATTGATATCTAGGAAGTTTGGCGATGGAGCACGAATTTCGACTGGAGCGTGGAAATCTTTACAAAATTGGAGCACGAGCGATAGCACTCAACAAAACGGAGATTTTCGATCGGATTTCACTTAGGGTCTCACGAGATATTTTCAACCAGTTTCTTCATTAATTTACTAATTCAATACGCTGAGATATTATAGAGAGCACAAAACAAAGTATATGCAATATACGGTGGAGGATGACAGTCGTCTTCGCTGGGGATTCTGGGGCAGGTCACAAGTGGTGGTGAGGGGGAGCTTTTTTCAACCAAGAACCGCGAAAAGAGTGAACAATCTTTCGTGAAGCGACATTTGAATCTTTGCGTCATCCACGCTTTCCCCTGCACTGGGGAGCCCCGCCCCAGACTTCTGCGCCCCCTTTCCACCGCGAGCGTAATTTAGGCACACCATTTGAAGGGGGAAAGTGACAAATATTGGTGGAAAATGGGCTGGCGGCGCTCCAACACCGTCTGACACGCCCATGATCCGCAGCAAACAAGACTGTACCCTGCTAATGCGAGGCCCAATAGGATACGAGTCGATGTGTCGTCATAAGGTAACAGTGAAGAACAAATATTTATTATTTCAACAGTACATAAGTGAACATCTACAGTTTTCTATTAAAGGGACGTCTCGAATGGTCTTGTTGGGGAATAAGGCGGTTGCTGAGAGGATACTGTAGAAACCGACAGATCGCATTGTTCTTCCTCGTCTAACTCATGGCATCCATTCATATTAGTCGTGCTGTCGCCCTAAATCAGAAACTGGCTCTAAGTATTATTGGTCGTGGGCAGTACTGATGTTGAGGATGGAGACCACGCGGCGACGTGACTAGGTCTGCCCGTCTGCGCCCTCTTGTAGAGATAGTGATCACTGCGTGGACACCAGTTTTTTGATCTTATAGTCATACCGCTCCATAGAGAATCTCGTAGGGTCTTGGCTTTTCGGAGGAATCTTCATCCGCTAATATCTGCATCAGCTTTTCTCTTGCCTAAAATCAGTGGAGAAAAATTTAAGGAAAACCATGTTGAAGTTGAGGGGCAGGAAGGCAGCTAGGTATCGATTGTGTGCGCGTGAAATCACTACCTATTGCACAGCACCCATGTTAATTAACCTGCTTTAGGTGTGGTGATAGCCCTACCGGAATAGCTTTCATCGAAGGGTGTGGACAGGGGACCTTGCCTAGAGCGAGCCATTGAAAAAGGAGCGCGGCGTCGGCAGGGTCCGTATCGAACTACCCCCCCCCCCTTTTGCCTCGCCCCTATGAGTATCCTCTTGGGCCGTTCTCATACTAGTTAGATGTACCAATCCAAGGCCGT